CCGGCGCGCAGGCCGATGGGGCCCCCTCCAGCGCGCCGGTGTCGCCGCTGGATGCCGCGCCGCCGGGCCTGCCCGGCCGACCGGCCTCCTCGCTGTCGGTGGCCGGACTACCACCGGCGGGGCCTGCCTCCCTGCATGGTGCGAGCCGTAGCAGCGGCAGTAGCAGCAGCGGCGGCGGCGGCCTGTCCGCCTACTCGCCCCTGACTCCCCTGGCGCCCGGATCGACAGGCGGCGGGGGCGCCGGCGGCAGCACCAGCACCCTGAACAGCACCGGCAGTGCGGCTGGGGCGAGCACCGGCGGCCCCGGCGGCCTGTCCGTGGTCAATGTCCAGCTGATGCAGCGGCTGCACCAGAAGTTTTTACAGCACCTACAGCACCTCGTGGCGCCGGATGCGCCGGTGCCCGGGGCCGGGCCCGCGGCCGGGCCATCCTTCAAATCCCGATCGACCGTGGAGATGGAGGGGCCGGTGCGCTTCGCCCGGGCCCCCTCGCTGGGGGCCGCGCTGCGGGTGATGTCCGGCGAGGGGGACGCCCCGCTGGCCGTGGGGCCGCCCTCGCCGGGGGATGCCTCGCTGGCCGGGCCGCCGGTCGGGTCGGACCTCGGGCCGGACCCCGGCGAATGGCCGCTGGTTTGGGCCGTGCTCCAGTGGACCGAGCAATTGCTGCCGGTGGTGTCGGCCGGCCCGGGGGCCGGGGCCCTGGCCGGGGGCTCGACGGCGGCCGGCCCCGTGTCCGGATCGGCCCGATCATCGACCTCCTCGCTGGCGACCGGCATGTCGCGGCCGAGCCCCGGGCCCGGGGCCATGGGCCCCCCCCCCTCGCCGGGGGGCCTCCTCCTGCAGGAGGATGCCGGCAGTCGTCACAGCATGGGCCCCGGTATGTCGGCTGCCCTGGCCGCCGGGGCCGGGGCCACCATGCCTGGTGATTCCCGGCGGCCAGCATGGGGGTCCGGCGGGCTGGCCTCCTCGTCGGGCTCCTCGTCGGGCTCCTCCTCGGCCTCCTCGCGTACCTCCTCCACCTTGGGCCTGGACTCGGAGCTGTTCCCCGGGTCCGACACCTCCGGCACCAGCAGCTGCCTGGAGGAGGATGAGACCCTCTCCACGCACTTGAGCTCGCATACCAGCATCGAGTCGGACCTGGATCTGGACGACTCGGACACCGAGGTGTCCATGACGACGGTCCCGCTGGCGGGACTGGCCCCCATGGGCACCGGCGATCTGGCCTCCTCGATGGACGACGCCACCGGGCCCGACGCGTGTGAGGACCCCCTGGCGGCCGATGCCGAGGCCGTCATGACCCTCACTCACAGCTGGTTCTGGACGGCCACCGAGCTGCTGCTCTACCCCTCGCAGGAGGCCTCGACCCTGGGGCAGGCGCCGCTGGTGCGTGCATTGCCGTCGGGTGGGGATCAGGGGCGCTGGGGCGGGGCTGCGGCGCTGGGGTGGGTCTGTGGCGCTGGGGTGGGTCTGTGGCGCTGGGGTGGGGCTGCGGTGCTGGGGTAGGGCTGTGGCCTTCCCCTCTCCGCTTCCCCCTTCCCCCCCCTCTCCGCTTCCCCCTCCCCCCCCTCTCCGCGTCTCCTCCCCCCATCCACTGTTCCCTCGACCTCCCTCACCCCCTTCGTGCGGCTGGATGCCCGGTACACTGACTCTCGAGCTGCTTCCCGCCTCCCTCCCCCCCCCCCGTTCACCTCCATTGCGCCGCAGATTCGTGTCAGCCTGCCGGACTGCGTGATGGCCTCGAAGCCGGCCCCGGCGGAGCCGCCCGGGCCGGGGGCCGGCTGGCAGTCGCTGTTCAGCCTGTCGGTGGTCGAGCCGGCCGGGTCTGGCGGCGATCCGGGCACCACCGGGGCCGGCCCCGGGGGGGCTCTCCTCCTGGCGGTGGTGGACCAGCCGAGCCTGGACGAATGGCTGGGCACCGTGCGCCGGGCGGCCACACGCACCAACTCCCAACTGGGCCAGCAGCTGCTGTGGTTCCGCAAGTACCTGGCAGCCTCGCCGGCCTCATTGAGCATGTCCTCCTCGAACTACAGCCTTTCCAGCATGCTGGGCGGGTCGCAAAGCACCCTGGCCGGGGCCGGGGCCGGCGCGGCCGCCGCCACAGCCAGCCCCAGGCCCGGGGCCGAGGCGGGCGGGCCCTTTCCCCCGGGGCCCGGGGCCGGGGGCTTCTTCCTGCACCCGCCGGCGCGGCCGCATGCCCACTCTTTCCACTGCCATCAGCATGGCGGCGGGGGGGACCGGCATGCGGGCCCGGGGCCGGATCGCCAGGAGGCTGGGCCGTCACGGGGCCGGGCCGCCTCGGCCGCCGCGGCCCCCGGCTCCCGCCGGTCGGGCCTTGACGAGGCCGCCGGCGGCGGGCCGGTTTGCTGTCCGGGGCTCGCGCAGCCGGAGGAGTTCCTCCGGTGGTGCGACGCCGGGGCCGGGGCCGACGCGCTGCCGGGGCCGCCGGGGCCGGGCCCGGAGTCCGACCGGCTGGCGGCCGGGGCATCGGCCGATCCCGGCCCGGAGGCCGATGACCGGGACCGGTTGTTCCCCTGTCTGTGTCACCTGGCGGGGCATGTGTCCACCGGGCTGCCGGGGCCGTCGCCGGTTCCGGCCCCCTCGCCGTTGCCTTTTGGGCTGACCGGTGGCGGGGGGTCGGTCCTCCGGGCGACCCCCTCGCCGGGCGCGGCCTTCGGGGGGTTTGCCTACCCGGCCGGGGGGGTGCTGGCCTCGCGGCCGTCGCCGCTGGGGCCGCCATCGCCGCGTGGGCTGCCCAGCCCGGCGGGGTTCCCGCTGCTCGGGGGGGGAGCCGGCTTCGTCGGCGGGCTGGCCGGCTCGGCCGGGGGCCCGGGGGCCGGTGTGCGGCTGTTGCCGGTGTCCATGCACACCCCTTCGGCGTCGGTGTCATCGGCCTCGTCGTCGGCCTCGTCGTCGGCCGGGTCGGCTGCGGCGTCGCCCTTCCCCGGCCCGGGCGGCATGGCGGCGCCGCCCGGCGCCTCGACGTCGCAGCATGCCCGGCACCTGTCCGACGGGGACTTCACCTACGCCGGGGCCGGGGGGTTTCCCTTTGCCACGAGCACGGCGGCGGCGGCGGCGGCGGCGGCGGCCGGCTTCAATCCCCCCGGTCACTATGGGGCTGGGGGGATGTATGGGCCGGGGGGGGCCGGGGCCTTCGGCCCGGGTGTCGTGGCCCCCGTCGGGGGGCTGCCCGGGCAGCTGGGCCTCGGAGGGGGCGCGGCCGCCAGCGCCATGGCCGGGCGTCTTGGGCTCCGGGCGCCCCTCCCCCCGCTGGCCTCCAGCGGCTTGAGTTCCATCTCGCTGGGGGCCATCAGCAGCCAGGGCAGCGCCGCGGCACTGGCCCCTGTCGGGCCGCTATCCGGGGCCCTGTCCACCGGGTCGATTGCGTCGGCCGGCACGCCGCGGGCGCCTGGTGGCCCGTCGCACCCTGGCAGCGTGTGGTCGCTGCACTCGCCGGGGGCTCTGCTGGCAAGTGGGTCCTCGCTGGGGCTGCTTTCCGGGTGCGTCTGGCGTTGCGTCTCTCTCTGTGTTTGTGTGCTTTTGTGTGTGCTTGTGGTTTTTGTGGTTTTTTCTGTGTATGCTTGTGTTTTTTTTGTGGGGTTTTCTGTGTTTCCGTGTTTCTGCGCTTGTCTGTGCCTGTCTGTGCCTGTCTGTGCTTGTCTGTGTCTGTCCATGTCCGCGACTCCCCGCGCCTGCCCGTGTTTGGACTCCCCTCCCCTCCCTCCTCACACCCACCGTTCCTCGGGCCATGCCCCTCTTCTTGTCCCGCCTCTGGCACTGGCCCGCCGCCTCGGCCCCCCGGGGACCACAGCTCGCTCGGGTCGCTTGACGACCAACTCCGCGCGCAGTCGCTCCCGGGGCACCTGTTCAGCGAGCGAACCGGCTCGCCGGTGCCATCGCCCGGGTCGCCCGGGCCGCTGCTGGCCGGGGGGTCGCGCTCGGCCTCGAGGTCCTCCCTGACGTCGGTGGGGGGGACCGGCACGGGCGGCGGCTCGACAGCGCGTCTGGTGTCGGCAACGGCGGCAGCGGCCGAGGCCCGGGCATCGCCGACGGTCCCCGAGCGCAGTGCCTCGCCCCTGGCCGGGCAGCCGGGCGAATGGCCGGTGGAGATGCGCGCCCGGGCCATCACCCGGCACACGCGCCCGGTGAGCCTCAACACGGCGGACTTCCATCTCCGGCCGCGGCTGTCCTTCTCGGGGCAGGCGTCGCCGGAGCAGCTGAACGCCGCGGCCGGGCCCGGCCGGCCGGAGTTGCTGATCGCCGCGGCGGCCGGGTCGGCGGCCAGCCGGCCGGGGTCGCGGGCCGGGGCCGGGGCCGGGGCCGGGGCCTTCTCGGCCGCCTCGTCGGCCGCTTCCTCGGCCGCTTCCTCGGCCGCTTCCTCGGCTACTCCCTCGCCGCGGGCCGTGGCCGGCCCGGCGCCGGCCAATGCGCCAGGTCGGTGGCCATCGCCCTCCCCGGTGGCGGCCGGTGTTGTGTCGGCCGCCGAGCCGGCCGTCAGCCTCCCCCCCCAGCCGCCGATCATTTTCCTGTCCCCGGAGCCGGCCGACCCGGTGGATGGCCATGGCCGGTCTTCCAGCAATCCCATTTCCTCCTCCTGCTCCGGGGTGGCCGGCGGGTCGGGGGCCGGGGTCGGCGGGCCGGGCGGGCCGCCGGCCGGTCGTCGGCCCGGGCTCACCTCGGCCCGGTCGACCTCGGCCCTGGGCACGGTCAGCAGCGCGGAGCTGTCCCGGGGCCGGGGGGGGCCCTACACCGGGGCCGGTGCTCCTGCCCCGGGGTCGGGGCCGCTCGGGGGCCCGGGCCCGGGCCTGGCCGGCCCGGCTCCCAGCGGTCCGACCCCCCCGGCGGGCTTGGACTTCCGGCTGCCCGCGTCGCCGCTGATGGCCGGGAGCTGGATCACCACGCCGCCTCTGCCGGCCGGCGGCCCGACCGCCGGGGGGGGGCCCCTCGGCGGGGGCGGCCCGCTGCCTCGGTCGGTGTCCTTCCCGGCCGGCGGCCCGGCCGGCGACGACCCCTCCGAGCATTGTCTCTTCTGTCCCCGGCACCCGGCGCACCGGGGCTACTACCCGCTGTACCTGTGGCACTTTGCCCCGGACCGGGTGCTTGCCGCGGTGCAGGCACTTCACAAGGAGGCGGCGGCGGCGGAGGCGGCGGCGGCGGCGGCGGCGGCGGCCGGGGGCAGACACGCGCCGGCCCGCGGCCCGGGGCTGTCCCCGGGCCCCGGCTCGGCCGCGGCCCCGGCCATGTCGCCCCTCCGCCGGCGGTCGCTCTCCTCGTCGTCCATCTCGACGCACTCGTCGGCCTCGGCCTTTGGCCGGGTGTCGCGGTCCTCCTCCCGGTCGCTGTCGCCATCCACCTCGGCCGGTGCGCTGGCCGGTGCGTGCTCTCCCTGCTCCGCTCGGTTCCCCGGCCGCCCCCGGCCGCCTCGCCACCGTCCCCTCCCCCCCTCCCCCCTTGCTGACTCACCTTTCTCGTTTCCCCCTGGCTCCCCCCCCCCCCTGGCCGCGCGCACTGCAGATGTCGACTCGGAGGGACCCCTGCCACCGGCCCCCTCGGCCGCCGGACACCCGGGCCTCGTGCGGTCGGCCTCCTTCAATGGGCTGTCGCGCATCGACGAGGGGCCGGGCCTGGTGGAGGAGGCGCATGGCCAGACGGCCGGGCAGGTGTCGCTGCCGTCCGGCAGCCCGCGCGGCGGGGCGTGGCCCGCCCCCTCGCCGGGGCTCTTCCCCCCGGCGGCGGCGCTGCCCCCGGTGAGCATCTCCCTGGTGACGGCGCCCAAGCACCTGCACTCGCACTTGCTGCTGCTTCAGCAGTTCCACCTCCTGCAGCAGTTGTACGCGGCCGGGGCGCTGAGCCGGCGCGCTGGGCCCGGCGCCGGCGGGGTGTTCGGCACGTCCGAGCTCCCCGGCGTGCCGCAGGTCCTGGCCCGGGCCGACTGGCCGGGCTGGCGGATTCTCACGCGGCAAACGTCGCGGCCGGCGGCCCGGCGGGCTGCTCCTGGGCCCGGGCCGGCGGCCGTCATGGAGGTGCGCACGACCGGCCTCGAGGTGGCCACGGCGGTGGGCATGGCGGCCGGGGCCGGCCCCCGGGCTCTGAGCCCCGGGGGGCTTGCCCTGCCGGCCGCGTCGCCCATTGACCCGGCCCGGTCGCCGGGGGGCGAGATGCCCCCCTCGTCGGGCGGGCCGGTGTCCGGGCTGCTGCCGCTGTCGCCGCGGCCATCACCATCGGCGTTGCCCATGTCGCCGCCGTCATCGCCCCTCCAGTCGCCGCCACCGCCGCCGCCACCGCCGCCGCCGCCGCCGCCGCCGCCGCCGCCACCGGCGGGCGTGGCCCCCGGCACCTTCAGCGGCCAGTCCCTGCGCAAGCGCTTCCTCCAGCGCCTGTCGCGCATCCGCCCGTCGCCTCAGGGGTCGCCGGGGTCGCTGCAGGCGGCCTTCCTGCCGAGCCCGACGGCCACGCAGCAGCCGGCGGCCCCGGGGGGGGCAGGGGCCTTGCCTCCGTCGCCGTCGCCGTCGCCGTCGCCGCTGCTGGCGCAGGCGCCGGTCCCGGTGGCCCTGTCGCCCGGGGGGCCGGCCGAGGGGGTGGACGTGGCGGACCCCCCGGGCGGCGGGCCTCCCCCGGCGGGGGAAGTGCGCTTCCCCGGGGCCGGGACACATGCCAAGCGCCCCGGGGCCCGGTCGCTGAGCTCGGCCTTCTCCGGCACCCCGGGCCGGCGGTCTGGCTTCCTGGGGCTCTTTTCCGCGGCCGATGGCGATTACCACCCCCAGCAGTACCACTTCCCGCAGCAGCAGCAGCAGCAGCAGCAGCAGCAACAGCAGCCGGCGGCGGCCTTGGCCGGGTCCACGGCGTACGCCGCGCACAGCCGGTCCGGCAGTGTGGGCAGCGCGGCGCCGGCGGTCCCGATGCATGGGGTCCTGGTGCCGCACTCGCCGGGGCCCACCCCCGCCACCACCGCCACGTCCTCGTCGTCCTCCTCGTCGTCGTCCTCCTCGTCGTCGGTGGCGGGGCCGGGTGGCGCTCCGCTGACCCGGCGCGGCACCGGCGGCAGCGCCTCCGCCGCGTCGCCGCCCCTGCTGTCGCCCTTCAAGTACCTGCCCCGGCGGTGGACCCGGCCCGAGGCGGCGGCGTCGGCAGGGCCGGGCAGCGGCGCGGGGGCGCCCGTGGTGCCGGCCGGGCCCGGGCCCGGGCCCGGGCCCGGCGCCGGTGCGTCGTCGTCCGGCGCCGGTCCCACGGCCGCCACCGGGCCCGGGCCCGCCGTCCCCCCGGGGCCCCTGCTTCGGTCGGCCTCCGGGCGGTCAATCAATGCCTGGCTGGGCCCGGCCCCGGCCCCGGTGGAGGCGGCCCTGCAGGTGTCCGGCTTCCTGTGGAAGCACTCGTCGCGGCTCTTCGGCCGGACGCACTGGGCCCGGCGGTGGTTCTGCGTGCGCGGCGGGCTGCTCATGTATTCGAAGGCGGAGCCGGTGGCCGCCTCGGCATCGTCATCCTCCTCGGCGGTGGCCACCCTGCCGGGGGAGGAGTCCGAGCCGTCGACCCCGGTCGGGACGGATGCCAGCGGGCCGGAGTCCCTGGCGCCTGGCAGCCCTGGGTCCGGCGCGCCGGGGGCGGTGCCGCCGCCGGCCTCGCCGGGGCCCATGGCGGCCGCCGCCGGCGGCCCGCAGCTGGTGGCCGCGGTGGACCTGGCCGGGGCCATGCTCGGCGGGGACCTGCCACTGCCGGAGGCGGCCGATGACCGGGAGCTGTCGGCCGCGGGGGCGGGCTCCGGCGGCCCGGGCGGGCCTCTGCTGGTGCTGACGTCCTCCTCCTCGACGGCGTCGCTGGTGCAATCGGGCCCGAGCTCGCCGCGGCGGCGGCTCCTCCTGCGGATTTCCTCCGGTAGCCAGTACGTGGCGCATATGCCTCCTGCCCTGGTGTTTGCCCGGCTCTGACCATGTGCCCGCCGGGTGCCCTCCTCGGGTGCTGCCCCTTGTGCCTGCTTCCCTTTCCCTGTCTTTCCCTTCGGCTTGGCCTCCGCCTCCTGCCCCGGTGCGTCGGGTCCTCCGGGTTGCGCCTTCCCGCGGCGCAGGCTGCTGACGCTGAGCACGCGCGACCCGGCCGAGCACCGGCGCTGGCACCAGGCCCTGGCGATCCTGATCGAGTACTACACGGCGGCCTGGGTGGCGGCGGCGGCGGCGGCGTCGGCGGCGCTTGCCGGGACGGCGGCGCCTGCCGGGCCGTCGGCGGTGACCGGCGTCGGCGGCGCGCCGGCGGCCGGCCCCGAGTCGGGGGCCCCTCCCCCCGGCCAGGCGGCGGGCGCACGGCCGGAGCCGGGGCCGGCCCCGGTGGCGGCGGCGGCGGCGTCGTCCCCGGCCTCGGTGCCGGCGGCGACACCGGCCCCGGTGGTGGTGGCGGCCGAGAGACGGCACATCGGTGTCCCGCGCCCGGAGCAGGTCAACCTGAAATGCTTCCACCAGAGCTCCTTCAAGCGGTTCATGCTGCCGCGCGACCTGTCCATGGCCGACCTCCAGGCATTCCTGGAGAGTGCCTTCTGCTGCGCGGACCGGCACCTGCTCCTGTACCGGGACCCGGACTCGGACTACATGCCGATCACTTCGCAGCACGATCTGGACGTGGCCTTCGGCGAGGTGCGTGCGGTGGGGCCTTCCCGCGCCCCGCCCCCCTGCCCCCCCCCCCCCCCCCCCCCCCATTTTTAAGAGGATGGCCCGGGAAGAAGAGGCCC